CAAGAACTGATGAAGTAAAACAAGAGAAGGGAAGAGGTACTCAAAACAATGAGGAAGGAAGAACAAAAGGGCAGGTTGGGGGGTCCTCAACCCCAATGCCCTAATGGATAGAATGGGATTCTGGAACTCTAGAGGCCTAAATAGACCAGCTAAACAGAAGGAAATGAACATGTTCCTTCAAAGACAACAAGTTGGAATGTTTGGGCTCCTAGAAACTAAGATTAAGAGAGCTAAGGCCAACAAAGCTGCTCTTAATCTATGTACTGGATGGTCATATACTAATGCAGGGAGGATATGGTTGTTGTGGAGACCTCAAGTCTTTACTATACAGGTGTAAAAAGTGACAGAACAATTAATTCATAGTACAGTGACACATAGGAGTACAGGAAAAAGTATGAATATTACAATGATATATGGATTCAATGATCAAGCACTAAGGACTGAATTATGGAGAGACACAGGAGCATAGCAGATCAAATGAATGGGGCATGGGCAATAATGGGGGATTTGAACTCAATGCTCAACAAAGAGGAGAGAGTGGGAAGCAAAGTAACATATACAGAAATCAAAGACTTGAAGGAATGTACGGAATACTGTGGACTACAGGAAATGAAATCATCAGGATGTTACTACACCTGGAGTAACAAGCAGGAAGGGTAGGATAGAGTAATGAGCAGGATTGATAGAGTTTTCATAAATATAGAATGGGTGAACAAACTACCAGTAGCTGAAGTACAGTATCTGCTAGCAGGAGAATATGATCACAGTCCAGCAATAATATAATGGGAAGGGAATGATAGACCAAGACAAAAGGCATTCAGATATTACAATATGTGGAGCATGGATACATCATTTATGAGCAAGGTAGAAGGAAGCTGGAAACAACATATCCAAGGATCAAATATGTATAAGATAGTGGGGAAGCTGAATAGACTCAAGAAAGTATTAAGACAACTAAATAAGGACAAATTTAGTGAAGTTGAGAAAAAGGAAGAAAACTGGTTGAAGAAGCTACTAGAATGCCAGGAGAAAATACAAAAAGATCCTAGGAATGAAGGAATATATGTACTGGAAGAGAGGAAGTTGACAAAGGAATATATGTACTGGAAGGAAACAAAAATGAAATACCTGCAGCAAAGAAGTAAGGTACAATGGATTAAACAAGGGGATATGAACTCTAGATACTTCCATTCTGTGATCGAGGAAAAAAGGACAACAACTAGAATATTCATTATTCAGGATAGCCAGGGGAAAACAATGCAAACAACAAAGGAAGTGGCAGCAGCTTTTGCGGAATTCTATGAAAATTTACTGGGCACAGATAAGAAGGACAGGAGTCATGTAGTAAGCAGATTAGTACAAGCAGGACCAATGGTCTCAGAAGAACAAAGAGCAAAGATGATAAAGAGATTTACAATACAGGAAATCAAAGAGGCATTATGGGGAATAGATGGTACAAAAGCACCAGGACCTGATGGATATGGAAGTCAATTCTTCAAGGAGAGTTGGAACATAGTAGGGAAAGATGTTGCTGAAGCAGCCCTAGAGTTCTTCCAATCTGGGAAGATGCTCAGAGCAATGAATACTACAACAATCACACTGATACCAAAATCTACACATGCAGAAACAGTAGGTGATTATAGACCTATAGCCTGCTGTAATGTGGTCTATAAGATCATTTCAAAAATGCTATGCAACAGATTGAAACTGGTGCTACCTGAGATTATACACAAAATCAAAGTGCATTTGTGGCAGGGAGGACAATTGTACAGAATATTTTGATATGCCAGGATCTAGTCAGATTGTATAATAGGAAGAACACAACAAAAAGTTGCATGATTAAGGTGGACCTGAAGAAAGCCTATGATTCAATTGAATGGGAATTTGTAAGGGAAATGCTACATGCTCTTAACTTCCCAACTAAATTCATTAGATGGATAATGGAATGTATAACTACAACTAGTTATTGCATAAACTTGAATGGAGACTGTTATGGGGATATAAAAGGCAGGAGAGGACTAAGACAAGGGGATCCAATATTACCATTGCTATTTGTCATCTGTATGGAATATTTCACAAGGGTGATGGGCCAAGTCACAAAGCAGAAAGAATTCAGGTATCACACAAAATGTAAGGAGATGAAATTGACACACCTGTGTTTTGCAGATGATATGATTCTGTTTTGTAAAGGGGAATATAGCTCTACAATATTAATGCTGAGAGGACTAATGACATTCTCCAACACATCAGGGATGACAGCAAATGCTGAGAAATCGAACATATTCTGTGCAAACATGAACAACAAAGAAATGGAAGACTTAAGTGAGATGACAGGCTACAAGAAAGGGAATCTGCCATTCAACTACTTAGGAGTCCCTATTTCTCCTAAGAAGTTGAATGTAGTGGATTGTGAAAAATTAATTGACAAGATGCTAATAAGAATCAAGGGATGGGGGTCCAGGAATCTATCATATGCTGGAAGAGTACAATTAGTCAACACTGTGCTACTGCATCTTCATACTTACTGGGCATCCATGTGCATACTGCCAAAGAAAGTGATGAAGACCATAGTAACTATTTGCAGCAATTATCTATGGGATGGGAGAGTGATTACCAACAAGCCTCCATTGGTAGCCTAGGATACTGTATGCAGACCAAAGGAAGAAGGGGGACTAGGGATACAGGAATACATTTCCTGGAATGAAGCAGCAATCGCCAAATATGTATGGAATATAGAGTAGAAGTGTGATACACTATGGGTAAGATGGGTGAATCATATATACATAAAAAGGAAGGATTGGTGGCAATACAAGCCACCTCACGATTACACATGGTACTGGAGAAAATATGTGACATTAAAGAGAAATTTGAAGCTGGATTTGAACAAAGAGGCTGGAAAGGGAAGAATAAACAGTACACAATTAAAGATGGCTATAACTGGAGAAGAGGAGAAGCAATCAAATGGCCATATGCTAGATGAATTTGGAACAGTCTAAATGTTCCAAAGCACTGTTTCATTGGATGGCTGATCATGAAGCAGAGATTACTAACTAGGGATCGCTTGTTTATGATAGGGCTGAGCCAAGAGAAGACATGTCTCCTATGTGAAAGAGCAGATGAAACAATCCAACACTTGTTTTTTGAATGCAAATACTCAAGCAGACTACTGGAATACTTAAACAAGTGGCTGAAGGTTAAAATAAACATGGCAGATCAAAACAATATATGGAGGAAGATAGGAATATGCATCAAAGGAAGAATATGCAGGAAGTTTGTTGTATCCATCATCATAGCAATCATGTATGGGATCTGGAAAGCAAGGAATGAGGCATTGTGGAACAAAGCAGTACCAATTCCAGAAAAGATGTGGCAAGGAATCAAGGAAGACAGCAAGTATAGAGTGCAGGAGATAACAGATAGCAGCAAAAATAGGAAAGAAAAAGAATGGATAAATACATTGTATAGATAGTATACTAGCAAGCAAACATACCTAGTAGGGATGCATAGCGGTAAGCTTAAGGAGATTAGCTTATAGTCATAACATAATTACTGAGTTGTAAATGTTTTTGTCAGGGGAAGATAAATAAAATTTTCTTTTACCCATATTATTAGGTCCACATTGTAGAATAAAATAATTCGTGATCTTCTCAAAAAGTATCATTTGTGTTACTAAAATTACTCATTCGGTTAGCAAAATCTTTTTGGCATTAGTTTTATTTTTTTCAGAAAGATGTTGAATTAGTTTCAGAAGTAAGCATAAAACTAATTTTCCAGGTGAATTTAGAAGCTGGTTTCTAGCTAGAAGGATGTTGATTAGTTCAGTATTATTAAAGGCGAAAAGCGCAAAAAAACTTTAAGGTCCGTTGGGGCTGTAAGCGCAAAGCGCAAATAAAGCATGGGCTTTAATGAAAAAGGCGCAACTGGAGAAAAAGTAGATATATATATATATATATATATATA